AGAGGTGTGACTATATTTTCAACTATAATTATTACATAACGGAAATAGTTTTAGTATTATAAAAAATCTCGTCTGCTGATGTTAGTTGAAGCTAATAAATGATTATTGATGTTGAAAATAAGCTTTTAGCGTGTAATCGCGTTAAAGATGTGAGTTCAATTTATCATACAAAAACATAAATATGAATCCTCCAAGTTGATAGTGAAGATATAAACAATGTACATGTATATTATGTTGTCGGGATTTCAGAAAACAGTAATAATTGAGGAGTAATTATCTATTATTCTCGAATTTGTCTATGCTCGCGTTTTTTTGAAATGCACACAATCTATCCAAAAGAAGTGTCTCAAAAGTAAATTCTGAGCTAGACATACTTAGTTTCTTTCTGTTAAGCCAACAACAAATCGAAACACTGCGCAATTCCTATATTTACGAGAAAGATGCGCGGGAAAAATAACTCTACTTAGACAAGTGAGTGAATAAGATGATGAAATCAACCCACTTGAACTAAATAGGAAACAAAACACATTGAATTAAAATCTATCTCGATTAATTTACGCGTTATTGTTGTACGTACGTTATAACAAACCAACGTAAATCACTCAACCACGCCTGCGTTTTGCATCAAATTTACTGGACTGACTTTAATGCAAGTGATTGTCCGTGTTACTATAAAAGTATGGACACATGCATGAAAAACTTTTTAGGAAATCTTTATTTGTCTATTTTTCTTTCGCCAGAAAACTTAAAAAAGAGAATGATTCATTGTAATGATGCCACTCGCTAAGGAAATATTTTGATAGATTGTTTCACATAATCATTCAGCGCCTCAATAATAGCGTAAAGTTAACTTCAAAAGAACAATATTAATTCATTCATTTTTTTTCGGCTCGTTTTTTTTCATACATAAAACACAATTTCGACTTCTAAAGTGAACTCATAATATCAACTTGTGGGGTATTATATTTCAATAATGCATGGAGTAAAATACAAAACACTGATACAATAATGCTAGGTGAATGGTTTTAGATATTATTTCACGGGGGTGGTGGAATAATAATAAAAGCATAATAAAGCAAGCATTTTTGCTCGTGCACAGATTGATAGGTACCTGCACCCTGCAACTGGCGAATTATATGTAGATAAAATCACTAACTATCTATAGTTTATCTACCTGTTTGTTTGCACGTAAAAGGAATATGTATGCTCACTCTTTCCTTTAATAGCCTCTTCTACTCTGATTTTCCTCACCGAATTCGATAATAAAGTAAAAAAGTAAAATATATGCGCATGTTTTCCTCGCCAAATTTGATGCATAGACGTTATAAGAAGAAAATTATTGTTTATCCGCCCGCAATTTTGTTTTTACAACAGTTCTGCTGGGAATAAAATTTAAGGCGGCACACATTACACCAAATGCCGCATCAAATATCTTGAATGAAACTCGATTTTCTCTGCTGTTATGCATAACGCATGCAGTTTTTACTTCCATTTCGCACACAAACAAATACAGCGTTTGTCAACCCGCTCATTCTTGGAAATCAATTTTAGAAACCAATGTTAAAAAAAGCGATCAGAAAGTAGGCCCATGTATGGTAAATGATATCGATATGGATAAATGTGTGTGTGCGTGAAAATGATAAATGTTGCATAAATTTATCACAAAGGGTTAAAGTGGCTAAGCGTGTTACAATATACGATCTCGAATTCTAAGCCCCCGGGCTTTTTTTTTACTTATGCGACTTCCATTATGCCGTATCTATCTTTGGTTGGCCCACATGAGTGAGCACGCGTGAATTCCAGAGTGGGAACGTATCGTTTTTTGATGTAGAATCGAGAATTAATTTATGGGGTAAAAATGCAAAGAGATGGAATGCGAAAATAACGACATCGAAAATGCGGTGTATGCGTTAACAATTATCGTGGTTCAAAATTTTTCATGATCCATATTTTTCCTCGCACACACGGGAATTTAAAACCTTATTTCTTTACTGATAATAAATCAGCTCGGTATACAAATACATCATCGCGCATATATTTCGTAATCAAATATTTGAAATTCAAATTTAAGTTAGCAAAACACAACACGACACAACACACAGGAAATTTTCTTGTCTTTATGTTCGTGTTGTTGTGGTGTATGTGCGTGAGCATTTGATGATAAACGATAAGTAAATTATTAATGGTGCATACAGAACAAACAGATATTCGGGTATTTTCAGATGTTTGTCATTTGAAAGTTTTGTCGATCAATTAATTTTGAATACCGTACATAAAAAACTCCTAATGTATGCACACTCGAGAAATGCTATCGAAATGTGGACGAATAGAATGAATAAACCCGATTGCATTTCTTAACAGGATTTCATTATCATTTATCCCCTAATAAAAAGACATAACAGCTTTGTTATATATTTTAGGACGTTTGTGTAAACTAGGATAAATCAGAAGGTTGCCACTACTGCGTAAACATGATGAAACATAATACGATACAGGGGAAGTCAAAGAGGAAGAAGGAGAAGGCGATTTGAAGAAGAACGTTGAAAAGAACTACCTACGTCAATGCAGTGGCGAGACGGTTATGATGTCGACGGCGTCGATCCTTGGTGACGAAGACAATGACTAACGATGATAATGAAACAGAAAATATTGAATTACGAAGTTTATGGCTAATTTGTTTGTTGCCGCCATTTAATCTTATTTTATATCATGCACATGTGTTACATATAATACTTGTATTGTGTGTGTATATGCAAATCAATGTATCATAGAAAAAGGGTTTATTGTCATCACATAGAGGTAGCGGTATATCGGATTATCTAATAATAATAAGAATAAATAATAATAGTAAGTAATACGTTCATTATCGTCTCCCTCTCTCTATTGTTGATTTTCTCGATATTTTATGCGTCTTTTTAAATTTTAAATCTATATTTAAATACGAATCCGGATCCATCAATCGCAAAGAAAGTCCAATCGGTCGATTTGATCGATTGCTCTATAATTAGATAAGCACATAGGTGAATTTTCAAATGATATTAAGCAAGAAAACGAGATTTACTTGCCTAATTTGGCGAAAGTATAATATCTACGACTTAACACAACATCTAAACTAAAAGGTCACATCATCGTTTGGTGAATAGTCATTGTGTGTAAGGTAAAAAGAGTATTATTCTATACAATTGTACTAACCTCACAATAAAAAATCGAGGAGGTCGATCATTCACGAGCTAATAACTGATATATTTATATGGCATAATATATTTTATAAATTACTCTGTATATTAACTTAGTCAAACGCAGCCTTTCACTCCCTATAATAGATAGACAGATGGATAGATGTGAATTGTCATTATTAAAACTTCTCGACATAAATACGCTCATAATCGCCTCATTCCCTTTTTTTAAATTCTTCAAAAAAACTCATTTCTGTTATTAATATAGAAAGAAAGAACGAGTGAAAAATTATTATATCATTATTATTATTGTTCATAACAAAACGCTCGGAAATACAAAAGGTAAAAAAAAAACCACGAAGAGGAATACACATACAACCATGGCACCTACAAATACACTCGAAATTCAGCTGAAGGCGGCAAACCAAGTGGTGGAAGCAGTTAAACAACTTCAATACAACGTCAGTAGCAAGGTTGAAGAAACTCTAAACTTCTCAATATCGCTCGCACCAAAAGCAAAACTCGAAATCGCCGCCGTGTCAAGTATCATTCAATACGCCTGTTACCTCGTGCAATCGGAAAAAGTGCACGACGTGCGCCTAGACTTCTCGCAGGTGAAACTCCCCTTCACCTTCCCAAACAAATCCATTCGCGAACACCTGTTTGCGAATCATGACAGCTCAGTAGCACTCGAACTCGAGAGTACAGATTGTCGGTTGACTGTCTTTAGAAGAAACGATCACAATGATCGAGATATTTGGTACGAAAATATCAAGAATTGGAGAGATGATTTGCCATCCAAGTTTCACCTCATGTTAAATGAGCTCGTGGAAAATGTTCCAGCACATGCTCAATTGCCGGAAGATAAATTCTGCTTCACTGTTGGTTTACTCTTTTCGACCAAAAAGGTAATTCATTGTATGTCTATGTTAGCCTAGTTTAGTGTTTAATCATGATTGATGTCACGATACATATTTGTTATTGTTGCACTTTGATTTAAACTTTTTTTCCATCATTTTTTTTTCTTTCAGTTATATTATTGTGTAGCTGATAGTGGCGTTGGTCTACGTGGTTCGCTTCAAGAAGCGATCGTTACCGATGTAAAAGATGTCGCTTCTAGTGCTTGTGCTTTACACTTAACTCGCCCACAAGTCACTTCAAAAGGTATTGAACGTGGTCATCAAGGTGTAGGTCTATTCATTACTAGTGAATTAGCAACGATGAATAGAGGATATCTTGAAATCTTATCTGGTGTCCAAGAATACGAACAAAAAGGTATATACATATTACAATTTATACTAGTCGTATTTTAGTTAGTTGGTTATTCAAAGAAATTAACATCACGTGATTATCCTTTTCATAATAGACACAACGGTCACAAGTGTTCGTGGAGTTTCCGAATGGAAAGGGACAATGGTGCATGGTGCAATCAATCTGGATCAAGAATTCAACTATCGTCGCGCCATGAAATTATTTGCCGAGCCGTCAGCAATTGGTAAAGATCGTTTCCTCGTCTGTCAAATCAGCTTAAATGTCTACGGACAACGTTCACTACGAACACGTGAACTCTGCGAAGAAATAACCCGTGATTTAGGAATTGCCGCCGAGCGATCCTCGAAAATAATTCTTGACTTTAGAGGTATCGAAGAAATCAGTCAAGCTTTCCATGGCTTCTTACGGCGATTCGTTACCGATCACAAGAAAGTTCGAATAATGTTCATGGTTCCACCGGAAGCTGATGAAGAGTTAAAAGAGGATTTGGAAGAATTGCAGACTCAGTCAAATGAGAATTGGGTTGATGCCGATGATTCATCGGATGCTAGCTCCAGTTCTTAAACCGTTTATTTAATTAATTCCAAACGCATATGATATTATTATTATTATTATTATTATTAATTCAAAAGTACAGATAATTTTTGGTATTTAGTAGCTGTTTCGTTATTATCATTTCTTCCTTTGTATATTTCTTCATTTATTCACAATTCCCCAACTATAGACGCACTTTTTTATACATTATATACATACAAACACATACACATACATAGAGATATAAATAAATTTGTTGCGTTGATTTTTTATTACTTTAGCATCTTAACACACACACACACACACACACACACACACACACACATACACACCCCACCCCAACATTATTTATAATTTTAATTTTTAATCCCAACATAGATTTTATTATCATTTCATTATTTACTATTCTTTCAATAAAAAAATATTTTTTTCCCTTTCATTCCATTTACAATATACTTTTTACGCTCTTACATTCTTAACACTTTAACACTTTTAACAAAATCTTACCACTTTTACATGCACGAAAATCCTTACTTTTTCACATGCATATTATTTTATCATTTCATCACCATTTACTACACTTTTTTCAATCAGCGCATATATACATGTATGAAGAAATGAATAAAATAAACACGAATTGAATTAATAAAAAAGAAAATGTTATTATAAAAGTTCACAGGCAGCTATCATAAATGATCGGGAATGTTATTTCAAATACGAAAAATCATATTGTTGTTAGTTGTATTTGTAACAATAGCTTTTGCAAGATATTGTTAAATTTTAAGCTACAATTTCAATTAAATTATACTTGAGATGTACATGTATTAAAATATACTTTGATAAGTTAAATTTAAAATAGGAGAAAACTTCTTTAAATTTTACCTCTATACATGCACAACATGGCTTAATCGGAGCTCCCTAAAATATTTTACCTTTCCTAAGGTCACACCTTCCCTAAATTCTTTTTTTTTACTATGGCCTCAAGGGAGAAGAGTGTATTTAACGAGATTTATTTCTACATGGTCAATTTGGAAATCGAAAATTTGATTATTGTAATGCTATTATAAATACACGGTATTCGTAAACTTATTCTTTAAGTGAATGAGTGGCTCATGTGTTTAGCTAAAAAACACACTCAACGAATCACATTTATGACGTAATTTAGATCATATTTAATTGTGTTCTCGTAGTCCTAAACCCCATTTTTCTTTTTTCTCAATGACAAGATTTTTTTGGATAAGCATTTCACCTTGCGTGGGGCTTACCATTTATTTCAGAACATTTAACAAGAATAATGCAATTGAATTTTTTAATTTCAATGGACAACTGTGCGAATTGTCCGTTCTACAAGTTTTGCTATAAAAAGTTCTTGTGCATACATTTTAAGGTTTATATGTTCTCTTAATATTATCGTAATGTTTTATTTGTATCGATATATTTTAAAATTCATATATAGAGTGCAATTATATTTGTTGTTTATCATGTAAGTAGCATCATCTTCTTTAAAAACGGTTCGCTTTGTCAATTTAAATTAGTACCACTTGATTGCGTTGCCAGATCTATTATAATATTGAACCCCTATCTTTTAGAACAGGACCCGAATGGTCTTTTTACGTGGTAACTTGCACGCGTCACATATATATAAAATACTTGTCTTTTGTTATACATGCGTGGTATCTAAAGAATAGTTTCTTGAGCTTCTACATGTGTAAATGCGCGATTATTTTCAATTGATTAGTCATTTTGAGATTGCTAATCAAACCTATGTTTTAACAAATATATTATCACTATTGAAAAGATAACGATAATACAACTACGTATCGGTGCTATTTTTCATTCACGGGCAAAAGATAGAAAATCTCTTGATCATATTCGCCTTGACTAGACTAAACTTGAATACATAATGATAAGGATTGCATCTTTCATCAACTAGCTTCCCCAATTTTTTTTATAAGACCATTTAAAGGGATTCTCTACCAAAAATCAGGCAGAGAGCTTTTTGCCACTAGTTCTTCATCATTCTCGTCTATACACACAGACTTTCCGTCGATGATCAATAATTGGTACGTTAACGTTAATAAATGCACTTGAAATACTATTCCTATCGTAGCTTAGTTTCTCTATACATGCTCGAATAATGTATATGCGGGGGTGATTCTTTTAACTTTATATGCAGTATTGTATTATTTGATTGAAGTATACCTCAAAATAATATACATGTATCCAAGCGCGTTCTTTTACCTTAAAACTTAGTATCGAATCTAATCGAATCGAATCAATCGAATTAAACTAAAATTCAATCGGGCTATTTTTTTATTTATATTATTTATATTATTAAAATAAAATAAGTTTGCGTGTTTTTACCGTTATACACTTTTCTATCAATAATCGTGTGAAAATCACGCGCAGATTGACAATCCGCATCCAATCCTTAGCATAAAACACGCGTTTACTTACACGGACAAAAAAATCGGAACATCTAAATTCGGATGTTTACACATGTCTAGAGGGAAAAAATCGTTAACGAGGCGAGGTCAAAACCAGTAAGCGAATGATATGTCATTGGCAATCGCAAAACGTAACGATGTAATTAATAGCAAAAAGGATTACATGTGTTTTTCAACGCTTTAATATTGGATTGTGCCACAAATCTGTAGTCTATAATAAGAATATTATCAAACTACTTACATATATTCATATTTGGTTAAAAAATTACACGAATTCGAAATCCAACATCTTTTCGCTGTTTTATCAATTTCGGAAAAACAAACAGCAAGAACATGAATTAAAATAGAAGGAAAATTAAAGATTAACGGTATTAATTAAAAGAAGATATTAAATAAAGATTAAATAAAAGTTTATCGTGACGGTCATTATGCTTTACGAGCCAGAAAATTTTTATTATTCGTCATTGTTTCGTCTCTTTCTCTAACGATTATTTTATGTAAGATGTATGTGCATGTATTGTGTTTGAGGAGGAAGGTGGGAAGAGGAACGGTATGTAGAGCAAAAAAAAGACATCCATCTCCACGCCGTAAATAGTTGATTCCGTCATCCACGAATTATCTTCTATTTTATTGGTCTTTTTTACTCAAATCCCAGAGTGGTAGACTAATTGGCGATAGGTCCGGTGTCCAAAGCACAGCTGCGAAACAGTACCATACTATCATGCTGCAAATAACTGTTAAAAGTAATTTATTGTTAAAATAAAAGAATTCGATAAATAAAAAGCATATGAAATGAATAGACGCGCGCTACTTACGTCCAAGTACGCCGGAAATAGTTTCAAAAATAGCGACTTGAGAGAATTGGAAAATAGTGTAGAATACGAAATCACCAGTCAAAAATACAAATGCTGACAATACGCCCAAGTTTGTGCGGAGACATGCTATTGTGAAGATGAATGTGACTAATTTTCCCATAAAAAAGAAAGTTCGTGTTAATTCCTCGTTAAGTCTTTCCAGCATATATTCTCACTGAGGTTATTATTACTTACAAATGGTCCACGCAGCTCCGTAAACTCCCAAAGCGTTATAATAACCATCTAGATCGCCGTCAGTACTTTGAAAAGCCTGTTTAATTCCAAATGAGTCAAGATACAAAACACCGAATGAAGCCCAGAAACCGCCAAATGCGCTGAAACCAGTTCCGCCGAATGTATTTCCAACTTTGAATTCCCACATACCAGCGGCAAACTATTTTTATTGATTATCAGTATGTTAATAAGAACAGAGCGCGAGCACGATAAGTTACTTACTTGTACTACGCCACCAGTAAATAACGAGACACCAACAGCAGCGTTAGGAATATGAATACCAAATGCATGACAATCATACAATGATAACACCATCACCGACAATGCAAATGCAGAAAGACCCAACGGAGTTGGGTTCCCTACTTTTGGCGGAACATAGCGGAGACGTGTTTGCGAGTTTCTTCGTGGTGGAGGCAAGATCGTTTCAGGATCTACGCTACGTCGTTGTTCCAATTTTTCGGGCCTAACGTAATCGGATATGTAGATTGATGTTTCTCTATCTCCCGGCATTTTTGATTATTGAGGTTGTATGAATAGTTATCGTTTAGTTATTATTGTGTTTTTTTTGGTGAAATGAAATTTCGAGTTTTGATATGTTTTTTGTTTTCTACTCTGCATATATCATCAAGAGGAAAAAGATGAAACGGAACGAGACGAAACAATGACTAGATGATTAAAATTTTATAAAAAGAGCAGGACGGGTGGCAGCTTCTTTAAACATCTGCCTAGTTTATATACGTTTTTATAACTTTATATGGTGGGTAAAAAAACACACAGACACTAGTCCTTTTCGGAAGAATTTACAAACACATGTCTTGGCAGTATAGTTTGGGTGATGATGATGTCGTGAATTAATGGATAAAATCGCAAGTTTTTGAGAACGTAGAGTGCGGGGAAATTACTTGATATGAAATTTTCTGCAGCTATTAATGGAATTTTGCAAAAATTATGGTATTCTAGAAGGTCTTAATCATGTGATATTTAATTGGTATTCTCATATAGAATTTGTTAAGGAGTCTTTGAATGCAAATAATTTTATGTATTCTCTCGTTCTCACCATCTTTCTTTTCTAGGCCATAAAGTGATTGTGAGTTTGCAAGCATTTAGTATGAAAGATCCGAACGATTTATTCAAAATAATAACCTTTCCATGAAGAAGTGTTCGATTGTTCGCATGCTGAGTTTTTTTGAGGTTCATATTATGATCAGTTCGTTTAGCACAGTAATCCTAGAAAAAAAACCAAGTGTGCATGGAACGTGAATAATGTTTCTAATCCATTTGAATTGTTTCAGAATTAATTCTATTTCATCTTGAATTTGTCAGTGTAAGCTAAAAGGATTTAACCAGTAAAATTATCGAATAATGCAGTCGCTAACTATATATTTACTATTTTCTTGAAACGATGAAAATTTTTTCAACAAAAAAAAAGAAATCTTATAGCAACTATACATGTGCTTTGCACCATTGCTCGACTTCTCGAAGACGAATTCGTCGGCTGAGAAGATCATTAACAAATTTTCATTTATTTTCACGCACAAATTTTCATATAATTTGTCGATTGTCTCATGTACCCCACAAACACAAACTTATTTTTCCCACGAGCAAGGATATACATGATTGGCATGATTGAATTATAAATTTTCGGATATAGAACGTATAGAATGTACATGTATATCGACATTACAAATTATGAAAAGAAAAGATAATCTCAAAAGCTACGTCATGAGAATTTCCTCTTAGAAAACTTCTTTTAAGACTATGCAAAGCCGAAAAATCACACATTAATATGTGCACACAGGTTTTATTGAGATATTACTACACCAGCAAAATCAATACTTGCAGAGAATGGATTAATGTAACCGAATATCATCATATTGAATACTCCCCCATACCGCTTTTGATAAATGTCATTCAACGAATTAATTATGATTTAGAGACTTTCATCCTCATTTAACTTGTAAAGCTCAGCCAGAAGTATTTTTTGACCTAGTGTTAAAACACAAATGATTAATCGCTTTAAGGGATAAGCTGACAAAAATCCAGACCAAACGCCAAGAGTTTAAACAGAATGAACTCCAAGCAATTAAAAAGATACAAGATTAGAAAGCAAAATTAGAGAATTGGGATTAATACTTCCTCCCATTTCTTAATAGAGAAATTGATGGAAAGAAAAGAAATGGGACTCAAACTGAGGAAATAAAACCCACCCAATTAACTCAAAAAGAAATAAATGAAATTAATTAATGAAACCCAGAAACTTTACCGAACAATCCACCGTCAAAGAGAAATGCATCAATTGTTAGAATCGTTAATTAGTTGCCTTACCCCAAATTTTTATTCACAAAATATTGAATTTGCTTCGTTCTATGTGTAGATATTATGAATTAAATATAAGTTTTTTGAATTATTTGCTTCGTTCTATGTGTAGATATTATGAATTAAATTTAAGTTTATTGAATTATCCGTTGGGAATCATACAAAGCAATTTCTCCGAAAAGTCTGTAAGTTTGTAAACTTGAGAGCTTTTTCGTTGAGTAAATTCAACCACTCAACCTAACACTCATGATTAATTCAGAATCTACCGTATGGCACTACTTACAGTATCCTCAAAATATAATCCCCCCCGGTGATTAAGACCCGGGTACTTTTCACTATCTGTACTAGTCCATTCTTGAATAGTACCCGGGTACTATTTCAAAGTCAATCTTGGCTAAATTTGATTAGTAACCGGGTACAAAGCATAATCTGAATTGTGAACTTACTATTTGTTCTACGCAGCCCCAAATAAAGCATACGAAAGAAATCTTTTATTATAACAGTCACTAATTCCAAATATTAACATAGTTTTCTTCCTCCTCTATTCATAATACTCTAAATCAGCTTCATTATCTTCCAAATTATTTTCTATATTCATACCAATTTCGTTACTTTTTCCTTCTTCAATACTAATTCACACAACTTTTTGTTCTTCTACTCTTCCAAAATCAAACTATCATCAGCGCCATTTACATTTATAGAAATTCCACAACATTTAAAGACCACCTAACTATTGCAGGATTAATTGCTTTCCAAGCTTCTTTAACTCAATTTGCTACAAATGAGTATGCTAATCTCTTGATTTTACCCATTCTTTAATAGCTTCATCCATCTAATGATTATAAATATGCTGAATCTATTAATGAGGTACAGTCAAACCTTGTTATACCAAAGGTTTGGGGGGGAACATCAATAATTTGGTATAATGAGATATTCGGTATAACGAAATGTTACAGATAAATATTTTTATTTTAATTTATAACAAATAAAAACCTTGATATTATAAAACTAGCTATATTAACCAGTA